TGATTTTTAAGAGCGGTTTGGAAGTACTGAAAAAATGGGAAAATTCCGCAAAAAGGTCCGGAATTTTTTTAATTTTTTTAAAATTTTTGTCGCAATTTCATATTTTTGGAATTTTTCTAATTTCGTCAAATGGAGGTGCTGAAAAAGGACGGAATTTTTCTGTTGGAGGAGGTACTGAATTTCTCGAGGATGTACTGTAAAAGTACTTATTTTTGACCTGCCTGTTTTAGTGGACACCCTGGAGCACTCAAACGTAACCAAATTCCTTCTCAGAAAATATTCATTTTGAAGGAAAGTTATGAATATTTTAACTTGAAATTTTCCATCATTAGATAAAATTACAAACCTCGAGTCTTCATTTCTCAGCTATTTGTATTTTAATCGTAACTAAAGGTTAGACTTAATATCCTAACTTCAATTTGACGAATTCATATTATCGTATAATTTAACTAAATCGTTTGTTTGTTAACTTACTAAAATTGATTCATTTCTGATGAATTTTTTTGATTCCGATGATCCTCTGAAACCCGCGAAGAGAAATATTCCCAAATTCGGAAATTCGTGATTTGTCGATGGAAATTTGGCAACGCTTGAATACTCATACGGCGTTCCTCCTTAGCACGGCAGAATAGAGTACTAGTTTTTTAATGAACCAAGGTTTGAAATGTGAAAAAACTGGGATATTAATGCACTGGCAAGGGTGGATGAGACGAGGTAGGAAGCGTGGAGGCCGCGAGTAAAATGACGGCATTCTTAGATACCACACCGCTGCGGCGCGGCGCTGCGTGCTGAATCCATTAGACGAGGTCGATGCCTCCTTTCAAACTCTTTGAGAGCTTTATTTGCATCGGCTCCTTTCGCAGTCTTCAAATGATCCTTGCCAATTTGCTGCATTATCCTCGTCCGCTCACGCTCGAAATGCTATGTAACTAACCTCTCATGCCAATTTTTCAAATCTTCCTTTTTTGGAAAATGAAGTATTATTACACTAAGAAAAAATTCCGGCTCCAGGAGCCGTAATTACGGGTTATGCTCCACTATCGTGCGTTGCGGGTGAGGACACCGTAAGTCTCGCATTCAGGAGTCAGAGCATCGGCCTCTGAGCCGAGAGCTCTTTTTGCTACGGGTTTAGAGGCCGTTGCTCCGGTTGCTGAATAGGGGACTTACGGTCTCTTCATCCGCAACGCACGGCACTGCTAGTCCGTAATTACGGCTCCCGGAGCCGGATTTTTTTTCAGTGATATAAGGTTGAAGATGGCCAGTTCAATGCGTTTGTATGTGCAAACCCGGCAAAAATTATATCTATAAATTTATTTTTACAGTCTCCGAAATTTAACTGCACTGGAAAGAAACACATTGTATCTAGAGTCCAGACTCATAAGAACATCCACAAGAAAAAACACTCTTGAGGCAATCGGATTTTTGCTTAAATCAAGAACCAAGCTTCTTAATTTGAGGGGATTTCCTTTTGATTTAAGCGTAAATCTGATCGAATCAAGAGTATTTTTTCTTGTCAATGTTTTCAAGAGTCTGGACTCTAGATCCAATGCGTGTTTTTTTTCAGTGTGGGAATTTTGCCTTGATCTAGAAAATACGATTGACGATAAACTTTGACGGTGCAACTCATCCACTCATCATTCACCAAAGTATCTTACAATTATTGATTTGAATTTCTGATCGTAAAACGTTCTTCAAGGCCGAGGGGTTCTCTTCGACGGGATGAATGTCATAACAGAACAGGAGCAGCAATTGTTCCGACAAACTATGAACTTCCGAGCGATCTGCAACTTTGCGCCCTCTTAGAAACTCGTCTAAGATGAAAACACAAAACGCAGACACCAGAGGCGCTATCGTCTCTATAGCCGTGCTCCGTGAAGCCACTGTTTTTGAATGGACTGCAATCAATCATCTAGTTCATTCAGTCTTTGAACTTCTTCGATTAATTGCTTCCACAGAAATAATTGCACTGTTTTCGCACAACAGATTAAAGAATCCTTGCTCGAGTCCGCCGCTCATCAATGAACTAGGTCAAAATGCCATTGTACAAAGCCTCCAGTCCGCGTTGAAATGCAGGGAGAAGAGGAGAGCAGTCATTTTGCAAACCCTTTTGTTCCTGTAGTTTAAGTGGTTGTACACTGTATTCTTGATGGTAGATCTTTTGCAAGTTATATCGCTTGCGTGGATGCGTTTTAATGAAAATACTTGGAATGTGTAAGGAGACACAATAATGTGGTAGACTTCGATTTTAAGAAGGTAGCGTGCACTTAAAGTAAGACACGAATATTGTTAATTGTATTTCTCGAGCTCTCCTGTTGTTTTTTCAATTAGGTAAATATTTTCCCTGATTAAATCCTCTCCTTTCAATTACAATTTGATCGAAAAAAAACTGGTTCTTTAAACCAGTTCATTTTTTGGGAAATGGGCGTACAATTTGGCAAACCAAATTCTCATTCCTTCACTTTTGACGAAATATCTAAACATACAACTTACTAAAACTCAAACATCGAAATCTCTTTTACCAAAAGTAATAATTGTCTTTGAAAAATACATGAAGTTTAATTCGGCAACATTCTAAAACATGAACCGGGTTTTTCTAGAAAAATTATTTCCTTGCTCCCGCCTCTGATTTCACCGAACACCTCATATCCTGCTCGAGGACCAGATCAAAGGTGGCTGAGAATCTCTGAAAGCTTCATTAGGCAAATTCAGAAGACGAGGGGCGTCTAACTAGAGACTTTGCATTACCGTTAGTTAGACAAGCTGAGCGATGTGAATAATACGACGCGGTGTGAGGTATATGTTTTTTTATAATCACAAATGTTTAAGAATGTTTTCTGAATTTGTGTTCATTGAACGCGTCCAGTTGAAAAGTGGAGAAGTAGTGGCTCGGAAACGTTCAAAGTGCCTTCGGATTTTTGTGTAGGCAATACCACATCGCTCGGGAGTTAGAATAGTCGTATCGCTTGAATTTGGCATTCACAAATTCTTCCTCGTCTACCGATCTGTACTCGGGTTTGCTCTTACTGAGGGATTCCGACGATTTCGCGTCACTGAATTATTCACGAACAGAGGCGAAGAATTTTCTGTCTCTGAAAAATGATCCGTGACAATAAAATGTAAAATAAATATGGATTCTCATCAGGCAAATTGTCATTTCATTTTATCCGATAAACATTATATTCTCGATGGAGAAATTCGCGCTTTCTATCCACTGAGAAAATCACACAATAGACCACTAGACTAAATTATAATCAAATCAGTAGAGGACATTACCTCCTAACCAGAGGTTTATGCTAGAGACGTTGAGTACCGTAAACATATTCACACTCACTCGTGAATTTAATGAAACCAGGTTCCACAAGGATTTCATTTTTATTCCAACGTAAGATTTCATAATCGTCAAACAAATTTCAGAGCTTTGAGAAAGCATTTCATTTAAAACACCAAAATTTCGTCAGTGCTCAATTGAAATCAAAATAACTTTGGTTTCTCGGAAAACTGGATGTCTGCACGTTAACACACAACATTCTGCACGGTCAATAGTGCGATCACACAATTTCTCCGTCTTCTCCCAAGCTTGCATCTACTAATGTAAACGAAATCGATTTCTCTAAAAACAGAAGATACTCAAGGGAAGATTGAAAGACATACAACACCTCTTAAAGCTCTTCGTTCATCTAATTTGCCGTATAAAATACATCCTCTGTGGGGAGCTCTTACCAACTGCGGCCCGCAGCCTCTAGGCTCAAATCTCCCGCTAAAAGACAGATCCTTTAACAAACTGTACCATATGTTAATATTTTCGTGCTTAAAACCGTACTTTAATTTCGGGGCAACTATCTTCTATATGATGCACTAATTGTAAGAAGGAATTGAATATGAGCAGAGTGGGAAAAAGGATGGATAAAAATGTATTATGTTAACTTTTATGAAGAAAGAAACAATTGTTTGGAGCAACTCTCTTCAGCTGAGATGTACGAGACTCGGGAGTGCTCGGGACAAAGTTCTGAGTAAAGACTCAAAGTAGAAAAAACCTTAAATGTTAGTAAAGTCAGAGAGAGAGGGAGAGCGGTATTATTCAAGTGGTTGGCAGGAAATGTTAAATGATCATAGGCGGCATGGCCAAATTCACGGTGAATATTCGCTGTCCCCTCTCTCGACAGTGCATGTATGGCTAATATCAAATACTTGTTATGCATTTAACGGCAACAGTGTAAAGGGTAACACCGAGGAGCATCATAACTGTCTTCCGTGACGCCAACATTTAATTACTAAAGTTTTCTTCCGTCAATTTTTATTCTCGTAGAAGTTCAAAACTGTTAACAAGAGTTAAAATTCATTTAAAACACCTTTCATCGCACAACAAAGCCTTCGCCCGGACTAATTGTTTTCACGATCATATTTTACGAGACCTATTGTTCCGAATCTCAAAAGACCATTTGGTCACCATTGATAGTTATTATGATTTTCAAAAGTAGAATACTTACACATATTTGAAGAGCACGCATGAGCCTCTTAATTGATTGAAACAATATTTCCCTATAATTTTATATCTCTTCGAACAAGAGAATTCTTTAAAAAAAGAAAAAAAAATCCCATTCATGTTTTCAACCCCTCTCCTCTAGCGGCTTGAGGCGGGCCTAAAATTGTGCCTCCATGCTCATCATTTGGATTGCATTTTGCAAAAAGGAACCAAGAGCATTGCAATGTTGCTAAGATTGTGTAACTTCTTTTGTCTTGGGAGAAAAACCTAGTCATCTTTAAAAATGTTCTACCTTACACGCTAAAACCTGTAAATTTAAGACAAAAATGTCCACGTAAATGTCATATTTTTGCACGATTACAATAGTCTTGTGGAAAGGGTGAAGTTGCACAATCTTAGCAACACGGCGATTTTCCTGGTTCCTTTTTAAGAAATGCAATCCATTTTTCCACGGTGTTGCACACAAGGACCTACTTAAATCAAACTGCTTAAAGTTCCCTTTTTTTATTTGTTTCAGGTGCTCTTAGAAAGTGCGGATAGAAGTTCTCTTTTAATCAACCTAAGGATGGAGAACGTTCCTTGTGTGGCTACCAAATCGATTGGCGTGTGATACCGTTCATAAATTTTCTTGGTTATTTGAGTCAATTAATCGGTTAAAAAAGAGAATAAATAAGTTTCTAGTGTTTAGCCATTAGCCGAGTGCGACGATTCATTACTGGCTCCATCAATAAGTTCGACGCGATGATTCCCGCAGCCAGTTTTCCGCGTGGGAATATACACGGCAAGAATGAATGCTCATCCGTTTTGATGGAAAAATATTTTAGGTCTATATTTTACGATCTCTTCCCATAAGAATATAATTTGACCAGTTTGAATTCATGGGCATTGATATATCATCGAGCAAAAAAAGTGCGTATAACTAGATTGTATATTTTTACTTATTTTCATTTAATTTATAGTATACTTTTTTAATTCTCAAAACACGGAGCTTTTGAAGTGCACTTAACGCTATCAAAAACAATTCTTTGGTCTTTATACATTTTTCTTACTCTAAGTAAAAAAGTTAGAACTTTGCAGTAATATTACCTCCGTGGTGAAGTTTTCTGATATTTTTGTGGGGTTCTGAGTTGAGCTTTCATAATTTTTCAAAAGAAAATAAATGGGGGGGGGCGAAGAAACGTAAATACAAGTAGTCATTTCACAGAAAAAAATAAATGGTGCTGACGCCAGAACCTTCTGTTCACAGGGCTCCTGCAGTTTCTTTGTTACGCTTACATAATTTTTCTGTTGCGAGAACAGAACTTCGGTTGTGGGAACAGAGCACTTTGTCCTCATAACGGAAGCTTCTGTGGCTGTTACATAAGAAGTGCAGGGGCCCTGTAAACAGAACTGGATTGCATTTTGCAAAAAGGAACCACTAGTATTACAATGATGCTAAGATTGTGCAGCTTCATCCTTTACCATAAAATTACGGAAAACATGAAAAATCGTGAAATTTAGATGGTAATTTTGGTCTTAAATTTACAGTTTTAGCGAGTAAAATAGAAACTATTGATGGATAATTGGGTTTTTCCTCCAAGACAAAAGAAGTTGCACAATCTTAGCAACATTGCAATGCTAGTGGTTCCTTTTTGCAAAATGCAATCCAACTATTTTTTTCAGTGTTCCGGTGATTTTGTTCCAGGATGTGATAGATCTCTAGGCGATATCCCGCAGTGATGAGGTTGAGTGCGGGGTCCGTGTAACGAATCGGTCGGCTAATATGCGCTGGCTAGCGGTGGTGTCGGTGGCGTTGGCGCTCTGCTTGGGGTCCGGGGCCGGCGCGTGGGGTCAGCGGAACAAGTCGGGGCTCCAAGTGGGCGAGCGCTACAAGCAGGCCACGGTGGGGGGCCGCGGGAGCAGCGGGGTCAAGATCGGGACCGGAAACGCCTCGACCGGAAATAAGTACAAGGAGCACCGCAACGTCTCGATGAAAGGGCTCGCGACGACGACGACGTCGACGACGGAAGCGGCGGCGACGACCGAGGACGAGACGGTTTCCGGCGCGGCCACCGAGAACCCGGACCGCTTGAAAGTCACTCTGAACATCGGGGTGGTGATGCCGCTCAAGACCTTCTACCAGCGGGATTACAAGAAGGCCATGAGCTCCGCCCTGGCGGTCATGCAGCGCAAGAAGCCGGACCTCTTCGCCCAGATCGACGTCAAGCCCCACTACAGCCTCAAACAGGCCACGCCCAGCCCCACAGGTAAGAAGTTCTACCCATCTTCAATTGGACTGAGTTAAACGGAAAGGAACCAACCCACATTTTGGAAAACATTGAGTCATGAGTGGTTTTGAACTCAATCACTACTCTACTATCGATCGCGAAAAATTGGACTGCATTTTGCAATTTGGACCTATAAATTCTGGCTCATCTGAAAAAACACTTATGTGCATAGGGAAACTAATGGCACATACGTTGTTTTTAAGTAGGGCCGGAATTTATAGGTCCAAATTGCAAAATGCAGTCCAATTCAAAGTGTTTGTTGGAGCAAATTTTGCAGAAATTGAACTTGAAGTTTCTCTTTTACACTGAGTCTTATGCAGGAGCTAAACTTTAAACCTCTTTTTCTCGGTTCGATCCCGATGTGGCTTGGTTCCTTTCTGTTTAACTCCGTCCAATTCTCACACTGTCGTGCTAAGGAAGAACGCCGTGTGAGCCGTAAAGCATTGCCTAGTTTTCTTTCATAAAATACGAATTTCTTGGAAAAGTTATGAATATTTTTGTTCCAATTTTTCTGGACACTATTGCCCGCAGTCTAATCTAAAATATCTGAAATCTCAAGGAAATATATGCATAACTTCCTTTCAAAATAAACATATTATCTGAGAAAATTTGGCAACTCTCTAATGTTCATACGGCGTTTTTCCTTAGCACGGCAGCTGTTTCTCCATGTTTTATTCCAAAAAAGATGAGGTTATCTCCCCCTCCAATCTCGTGCTAAGAACATGAGCTTTAGTGCAATAATACCATAAGAAATAATACAATTGACTTACAGAACACACGTAGTTTAATGACAGATACTGAAATGACAAATACTGAACATAAGAGACTGAGAATATCTTGACTTCAAAGGGATGATAAAGTAGGAAATGTACGAAGCAAGGACAATCCAAATCCACACAAGCTACCACTCTGATGCACACTGAAAAGATGGTCAAAAAACTGCATTTCTATGGTAACGGTGACGCAACAGCAGCATATCTCTCGTTCCAAGCAATAAAATCAAAATAATAATGAAAATAAAATCTGGTGTCCTTCGAAGAGAGTGTTCCGTGTGAATGTGACTTAAAACATGTTTTGCCTCCAGCCACACCCCGTCACCCCCCCCCCCAATTTGGGCGGACTCCAAAATCACTTGTCGTTCATGAGGGAACCATGGATGGATGGAACAGTTCCCTAGTCCCTATACAGTGTGATCCAAAAGTCACTTCCACCCCCTCTAACTTTTTACTTAATTGAGGTAAAGATTTGAAACTTGGGGGAAGTTCATAGGTCTAAAGGAGCTAATTTTTGATCCCTCTAAAATTTTCAGGGGGCCTCCCTTGGAGAATAACGGGCCACAACTTTTTATATTCAAATGGGAAGGACCCCTATTGTGATACCTCGTTTGCAACGCATAAAAAAAAGAAAACTTTCCGCGCAAAACACGAAGTCAATCTATATCAATATCTCGAACCGTTCAAAAATGCTTTAGGACACTGTTTTTTACGTGATTTTGAAGATTCCTAGGGGTGCAATAACGGCAATCCGATTGTGCGCTTCGCACGATATTTTTTGTGACTTTCGAACGACTCGACGCTAGGACGCTGTGTTTTACGCGATTTTGAAGCTAACCTGGGTTGTGCGAAAACGGGAATCCAGTTGTGTGGTTCGCGCGATATTTTGAGTGACATTCGAATGACTCGACGCTAGAACACTGTTTTTTACGTGGTTTGGCAGATTCCTAGGGGTGCGAAAACGGTAATCCGGTTGTGTGGTTCGCGCGATACCTTTTGTGACTGTCGAACGACTCGACGCTAGGACGCTGTTCTTTACTTGATTTTGAAGATTTCTAGGGTTGCGAAAACATCAATCCGGTTGTGCGCTTCGCGCGATATTTTGTGTGACTTTCGAACGACTCGACGCTAGGACGCTGTGTCTTACGCGATTTTGAAGCTTCCTGGGTTGTTCCTAGGCCCCCCTAAAATTTTTCGGGGAACCGTTGGGGGGGGGGAGGATGGACGGAAACAAATTATATTTTAAATTGAGGAGACCCCCTTTGTTATACTTCGTTCGAAAGAGCATAGAAAAAGAAAACTTTTCGGGCAAACCCGAAGTCAATATCTCAAACAGTTTCAAAATGGCGACCGTTCGAAGTTCAAAATGGCCGAAAATTCACACCGGCTATTCGTCGATGGATTTGCGCGAAAATCGGTGCCTAGACGTATTTTGACACGAGAAAAACGAGTTTGACGTTAGATTTAAAAAAACCGAAATTTCCGAAATGGTTGCCGGTTAAAGTTCAAAATGACCGAAAATTGCCACTTCGGTTATTTGCTGATGGATTTGCCTAAAACTTGGTATTTGAGGGTTTTTTGGCATAAGATTAACACATTTGAACTTGGATTTCCAAAAGAACCAATTATATCGGTTACCCATTTATAATGCCAACATTTAGAGAACATTTTTACCATATAGGTATAGTCTACAGATCTAAGGTGGTTAGGTCCCTCTACTGTGAGGAATGCCATGCAAAATCGTACCAACACCTGATCGCGTTTTCTATGTTTTGAATTTCCACTCTTCGAGATTTTTAAGAGTAGAACGATAATCTTGAGCATGACTTGAGCATGAGTCAGATGACTCTAAATTTTCAATTTGTCTTCATTTTACATCGTCAAATGAGAAATTCCTTCCAAAAATCTAGAAACTGCGGTTTTCGTTCTCTTGCTTTCGGATGGAGTGTGACAACGGTGCTCAAAATATTCAATATACAGCACTTTTGAAAGATTTGTGCAATTGCTTGAGGAGCTTCTACTTTCTATTGGCTGTGGTTAAACATCATTCACGGGCCAATGAATGCACGGTTACTTCAAAAGCTAATGTTTGATCTTTACATTAACCGCTCTTCGCAGACGCTAGGCCAGGTCATGCATCGATCGCCCTTTCGCTCCTTTGAGATGGGCTCAGTTTGCGTGAATTTCCGCGGGCTTCAAAACCAGAGCCCCGTTGAACATGTCAAACTTGCAACTTTCGTACGATGTTTGTGGTTATAAAAATTGCTATTAGAAGAGGGAAATATTGGTTCTGTTGTTTATAATTAAAAGCTCGCAGGTAAAAGTTTCAACATCATTTCTTAAGGAAATATGAGAAACATTGATGACTTTATTACTTTATCAGTCAGCATTTCTCACTTTAACATATCCCCTTTTTGTTGTTACTTTATTTATTCGTGGTTCTTTTTTTTTTTAACGAAGAAAAAAATCGGTAATTTTCAAAAACACATTTTACACATACAATCTGTATAGTATACAATAGGACTTATTCTAATGGATTCTGCCTTTGTACAATTTATATTTTTACTCTGATTATTTATCTGGACCGCAATAAGCAGACAGGAACCAAGCCACACGAACTGTTGCCATATTTAATCGAGCTTTTTAAGTCACATGAGAACGGTTGTGCGGATTTCTGTACAAACATAAGTGAACTTTCTTTAAAGCGAAGCGAATTCCCTAAAATTTCCCAAGGAATCCGCACAAACGTTTCCATGATTGGGCGTTTTCACGATTCATGAATGGGCCTTGAGTCCGTTCCACCAATCACCGCACGGGCGCACGAAAGGCTCACGCGGCTTCATTGTAAATCTGCGGGGCTCCATATGCATCTGAATGTAAAACTTGATTAGGAGAATAAAGGGAGCATCATGTTTCCTGCCGCCTCCGTTCCTCCCTCCACACAGATTCGATTACAACTCGCCTTGTCTTAAAATCCCATTTTCCAGCACCAGGCAACCCACACGTTTTCATTGCTACTGCGCAAGTGTGTTGCCTTTGCATTTGACTCTAATGGGAAACTGGCAGAAATTAAATTCGAAGAAATGGCGGCGCTGATTCACACCGTAGAGTTTGGCAACACAATAATTCGTCGTTTCTCGGAGCGAGGGACGTAACTATATTCCAAGGTTGTAAAATTGACTCGAAAAATTCGATTTTTTACGGGAATGTACCTGTGAAATTTTTGTTTAAATATTTCTGATTTTTGCACGAGATTAGAAGAAAAATCACTGAAATTTTCCATTAAAATTCTCAAGATTCTCCTGGTAAAAATGTAATTTGCGAGAAGAAATTTGGCAACATTGATTTGTCGTTAAGTTTTTTAGTGAGGGAAACTACAAACAGCTCGACCAGAAAATGCGAGGTATCAGCAAAAAAGCGTTTCCGGGGCATGAGAGAAACTGCCGTTGTGAGGTACCACAATCTGTGAGAAATACGTCGTAACACGCGAGCTATAGCGCCCATTTCTGTGGAGCAAAGCAGAATAGCCCAAGAAATAAGTTAAGAAACCATCATATTACAGCGTTTGGCTGAATTATGACAGCATTTCGATTATGCAGCAACGCGTTAAAGATCTTGGACTGGTTATAGGATATTTCGTCAACGATTTTTTGTCCGCGCACCTGTTTTTTCCAGTAATTTACGTCCACGCGTTTTTTCGGCACGGGAGTTTTGGTCCACGTGCCAGTTGAGACCCAAAGTTAATTGGCCCACCTATAAATACAAAAGAAAATTGCTCACGACGTTTTTGGATGAAAATGTATAATGTCTTGGAAGAATGAGGGTTTGCTTGTTTTTTTGTTTTGTCTGTTTGGTCCAACGGAGAATAATAGATAGTAGAGAGTTTTGGTGAAAATGGGGGAGCGTCAATTCCATGAGGCAAAATTCACTAAAACTCTCTACACCTTTTTGGTGTAACAGGACTTAATTATCTTTCAAGAAATTCCCACCTTCTTATACCTGAACCAAAACCTCTATATTTGCCTCAGCTAAAGGCTCTTAGATTTTTCCTGTGTACAATAAGTATCTTGATTTATTTTGCGAGGAAAGTTCCGTACCTTTAAAGGATGCCTGTCATACTTAATACGTTCAATTTTGTATAATACTGTGCAACACCTCTGTTGTGAAATAGTTGCTTCAGACGCCGCGCCGCACGGCGGGAGACGC